TATCCATCCAAATGGATTTCCTGCTTACCGTGACCCAAATTATATTAAAAATAATGATTATAAACGACTTGAGCCTTCTGATATTTATAGTTTTGGTGTCCTTCTTTGGGAACTGTCAAGTGGCAAACGTCCCTTTAAAGGTATGAATGATGGAGAAATAGAACGATGCGTAATCTCAGGTAAGCGAGAGGAACGAATTGATGGAACTCCAGATGACTTTAGAAACCTTTACGTTGAAGCCTGGGATGAAGATCTAAACCGTCGCCCCCCAATTGGAAAAATCTGTCTTGAATTGGATATTCAATTATGCTCACATCAAATTACTAGCAGCTTAAAAAAATTTTTTTCGGCGAGTCGTTCTCATGAAGATGGGGCTTATTTTTTTGCTCGAGTTTTTCGGGATTTGGTTCTGGATGAGAATTTCGTTGCTTTTCGCTGGAATTTTCTGGCTTTTTTTTTTCAAGCCTTGAAAGATTGGAGTTGGGAGAGAGACGCGAAAAAATTAGAGGAATTAGAGAAAAAAATTGTTACTACATTTCAATTGGGAAAGGCATTGGAGAATACCAAGAAATTTGTTAAAGTTTCTAGTTTTTCTGTTGCTGTTGCTTTAGTGAATTCTGTTGTTATTGCAAATTTTTATTTTCAAGATGCTGTTCGTGTTTTTTTAAATTGTTTTTCTGCCGCTGTGATTATTACTTTGGCTGCTGTTACCAGCAGTGAAGAGGCTAAGAAAACCTTTTGTGTTGCTGTTTATGCTGTGGAGAGTTTTGTCATTGCTTTGAATGTCTCATTTCTAAATACAGGGATTGTGTTTTTTTTGAATATTTTTTTTGCCACTGTAAATGCCGCTTTTACGAATTTGTCTGCTTTTGATGTTTATAAGGAGGATTTTAAAGGGTTTCTTGTGTTTGCTTTATATGTTTTGAATGTTTTGATGGTTGTTGTAAAATTTGTTTTTTATACTTTTATTATTGCTGTGAAATTAGTTGCTATTTTGGCGAAGGATCATAAGGAATTTTTCGCTGTTTTTGCTGCAAATGTTGCTGCTTTGGCTGCTTATTGGTCTTATCAAAAAATAACATAATTCTTGCACAGCACTTCTTATATTCTATATATTCGTAGAAAATTACAAAATTTTTTCTAATTTTACTGAAACTTTTAAACAACTGCCTATAAAAAATGTTTATTAAATTTAGTATAAAGTCAATAATCTAGTATAAAGTCAATAATCAAGTTGCCACATGTCATATAATATTCCTTACGATTATACCGAAAATGTTTATTCTGAACATGAGCTTAATTTTCGTGAATCTGTTGGGTCCGAGTGCAAACAAGTGATATATTTTGCTTTAGATGGATTAGAACGCAATATTAACAGAAAAGGAACATCTAATATATGGGGTAAGTCAATAGAAATCAAGAAAACTTTAAAAAGTAATAAATCAATAATTAATAAAAAATTTTTTATAAATGAGTTAAAATATTTTATTACTTATAAATTATTAACAAGAATTCACATTATATTTAAATAAATAAAATTATTAAGTTTTAATTTATGCGGTTAATTTATGCCGATTTATGATAAAGGTAGGAAACTTTGCTAGAATAGAGTTGGTTTTCACTATTTGAGTGACGAAAAGGGAAAACCTGTAAATCATTTCACATAATGAATGAAATAATTTACAGGTTTTCACTTTTCGTCACTCATTTGATCAAGATGGTTCGATTCGTTAGTACTATATTCAAAATGAAAACTTTTGATAATGCGTAGAACACAGTTTACAGGTTTATGGGCAAAACTTTTTGTTTTAAAATTTTTGGACTGTATGGATTGTATAGAATTGTTCACGCCCAAATCCCAACTCTGCCAAACTAATATCTAAAAAACCTAATAATATCTTAAAAGTGAAAATAAATACATTGTTTTAGAGTTAACCTAAGTGTTCCCCACACTAAATCCCAAAATCAGACAACTCATAACCTATTGGAAATTGGATCCTAATTGTTTAAAGGTTCTAAAAATATCTAAATTAAGACTTGCAACACTTAACATTATATATTTAAGCTATAAAAATACAGTATTTTTTATCTTTTCTCAAAATATTTTAAAATAAACAACAGTGAAGTGACACGCGTAGAGATGGGACTTACTAGAAAAATAATTATGGATTTTTTCAAAATTCATGTTTTTTTTTGCAATATCAAGTTTTTCATATAGTTTTATGAAAGTAGTAAATTTGTTGCTGATTCCCTTTGCGTTATTTATGATATTACTAATTATTGAAATTTATTCATTATAAAGATTAAGAAAATCTATTTATAAATAAAAAATATAAAAAAAAACACAAAATAGAAGATAGAAACAAAAATAAAAAAAAAATAAACAAATAAATAAAAGTAAATTACTTAGAGATAAAAACCTATTTTCATTTATTTGATCAGTGAGAAAATCAATTTTTTTGGACATTTGATGAAGAATTGTTCAAATGAGATCTAAAAAAAATATCAGTTATATCTATGAGAATAATTTTACAACTTGATTTTGTTGTTGTATCATATGCCTCAGGAATATATCCACATTCCCAATTATTTTTTCTATAGTTATATCTAATTTTTGATGGGATTACTACTATGCCAATTGTACTGTAAAGATACAGGTCAAGTGCACCTATCAATTCACAAACAATCAAGGAGCCTATAAAATATAACACTGTAATAAATACAACACTGTAATAAATACAATACTGTAATAAATACAACACTGTAATAAATACAACACTGTAATAAATACAACACTGTAATAAATACAACACTATAATAA